AATGCATTAGAGTAAGGATGGTTTAGTAGCTATTGTTCTACTAATCCATTATTATGTCTAGTCGATCTACATATCAAATGAAAGAAAAATATACAGTTCAATTGCCTTCTTTCATATATTCCCCTGGCGGAAATAAACAATACCCCTAGTTTTTGACAATTAGTTATCTAAAAGATAGGATGGGTGTGTGGGTCTTTTGTTGTTATAACAGACCGACACCGACACCTACAACCAAACCCATTTATATGTATATAAATAATGTAGTAGTAGATTCTCAAGATACCTAATGAGCCCCTTAAGCAAGGACGAAACGTCGTATATTGCTTTAACTGAACAAAATCGAGTGGGTGTTAAAATAATTAGAAAGGAACTGGTACCTGAGGGTGTGGGTGTGGGGTTTGTTACTATTTCGAAGTTTCTTCACACCCACCCCACACCCAAGTATTGTTTTTGTAATTAATTTAAATAGAAATAAATTGTTTTTATTTTATTTAATCTTACTTCAATTGTAAAATAATTATAATGACGTCGAGCTGCATTAACACATTGAGCAAATACGGATAAAACTGGTTTTGCACTGAAAAATGTCATTTCAGACCAAATAACTAATATTGATATACAGCCTAAATTTATAACAAGAATACGAAGACCCCATAGACGTATAAGACAAAATATATACCATTCTAAACATGAAAGATTAGTTTTTTTTATATTAAATAAAATGCTTAATTTTGTTTTAAAGAATTTCTCTGAATAGAAAATAATAGTAGATTAGAAGATTCAAATGAATACACTTAAGTTTTCAGGTATAGGAATGTGACGAAGGCAAAAATGTGGAAGGTTGCAAGGAGGAAAAGCGGTTCCTGATGGATCCTAGGATCCACCAGGATCCGCTTTTCCTCCATTGGTTATATCCCTGGTTTATATGTCGACTGGATCTAGTTTAATTGATTTATTTTAATACAATATATTTTCCTTGCTATGGTTTTCTCTTCTTTTCGTAGTATATTCAAAGTTGAAAAAATAAAATAAAAGATGATAATGATTTATTCAATAACTTTTTTATTTTACCTAATACCGGATGTTCATCAAATAGCTTTTGTCTTAACCATGATCTGGTAGTTTACTTTGTTTAATAAATGAATGATTAGTATTGTTTTCATTATTTAAAATATCCTCTATATAAAAAGCTTCGTGAATCATATTTATCCAAGAAGCTTGTACTCGATTATGAATATGTGTATTCTTTTTTAAAAGTCCATGTAATTTAATTAATTGTTTTTCCGTTACTAAATCGGTTAACTCGTTTCCTATTGTTGCTCTATAATCTTCATAATCATCCATTGTTAATTTAACTCGATTAGAATATTGTTTAGGTCATACTATTTTAACAATTTCTTCTAAAAATGGCCGTAATGAATCATTATATTTTATTTGAAGACATAATTTTGATACTTCATCAACAAGAGATTCTAAACGCTCTTCAATATCGATTTTTTAACTGTAACGTTTAGATAATTTAAATTGAATATGAGAAAGCATATAAGATGTTCGAGAATGATGATAAACATCTAATGGTACTTGAACAGGACCATAGCCAAGCATTAACACAAGAAGGAAAAGGCCCCATGTTGTACTGGCGGCGATAATAGTCGCCTATAATAAACCGAGATATTATGAGATCTCATAGGAGACTGTGAAATCGAAAAAGATCAAGTGAAATGTCATTATGAAAGTCTTTCATTGAGTAACTCTCAGAGGTATTTAATTCACGAAATTTTACACTTTTAATCAAATTTAAAAGGTACAGTTAACAAATTTTATATAATTCCTATTTGACAACTGCTGCTAGGTGCAGACAATCTATCAGATTAATAGGATATCAATAAAAAGAGAACATAGCTGTTTTTCTCGTTCAAGTGGAACAATTACTACTGAAAAAAGTTTTAGAGAGTCATTTAAATTCTTCAAATTTTTCTACTGAAAGTAAAAACCACATATAAAGAACTTCATTATTTCTAAATCTTCATATTTATTGAAACATATCGAATCGTATTAACTATTTTATCTGATTTTTGTCTCCTTAATCTACTTGATATTTCTTCCTAGAACTATCTAGTGTGATAAATCAAATCTTTTCGTCAACTATTTACTTTAAAATTTGATGCATTTAACTTATAATTAACTGCCATATAAGTAACAAGAATTCCGAATATCAGCAAAAGTGTTTCATAATAAATAAAATTTGATCTTAAAGCATATCGAATCTTTCCTTTTAGATAAAATTCACCTAAAAATATTTCACAAAAAAATACATATACCAAAAAGCAAAAACAAACTAACCTGTTTGACAAATTGACTGCATAAGTGGTAAAACAAATCCTTGAGAAAATAAAAATAAAATAAAAGTTTTTCATTTTTATTCGTTTTTACCAAATGAGAAATTGTGGTGTCCAATAAATAATATGCCATAAAACTCCATAAGATCTTTGATCTACATGAGACCATGGTCGAGGGCATAAAACCTTCTTTGAATTACTCTACAAACATTTTGCATTAGCATTCAAAGACAACTATGATAAGTCTTTTTTTTACTCGATTTAAACTATCAGGAGTAATCGTCGATGTGCTTGCTGAGTTATTCTGAATGCACTCTCGATAAGCAGCCTAAACAAAAGTTATAAATTACTTTATCTATGCCAAGCTAGCTCGACGGATTTAAATAAGTTCAGCATCCTTAGCAGCAGAACGTAGGGAAGCCAAAGCTGAGCGAAGGAGTGTGACAGCGCGCATGGAGATACCTTCATGATAGATAGAATCGAACTAATCTATGATTCTTACTGTTACCTAATCTCCAAAGAATAAGTATAAGGTATTTTCGATCGATTTAAATGCATCGTGGTTGCTTCACATTGATAGTTATGTTTTGTTTTTAGTAAATAAATGCTTACCGATGAATTATCTAATGGTAGAAGAAAAACAAAAAGAATCGAAAAGAACCAAGAAATAAACACAGCTCCAGTTGTTAATGGATGTTGCCGGCGATATAATTTCCACAACTATAGAGAAAAAGAAGTGTTATTAAACATGAGAAGATAACGTCAAATACGAGTGCAACATTCGACATAACGAAAGAAAAGCGCTATTTTGATTTTGATATCTTTATCCAAAAAACAAATTAATTTTCTCATTCATTTTAATTCGACAAAGGGATTTTTTTATAGAAGAATACAAACTGCTGGAACATCTTTATTCACTTTTAATGTATCTAATTCAACATCTACATTAACCGGTTGCCAAATTTGTTCGATACGTTTATAACCTATTTGAACGTCGTTTTGCCATTTCAGCACACGCTATTGCTTCTGATATACCATCATCAAATGCATTCCATGTTACTTGTTCAATATTCGTTGAATTCTGATCAGATGAAATTAACTTTCGTATTACAAATTGAACTAAATTTTTCGTTTTTGAACCAGATCGAACTTGCATATGAAGACAAGATGGATGAAGACCATATGGTAAAGATAAAGAAACTGTTGGAGTATCATTGTGAGTTTCAGTCGGCGCATATTGCTCGATAGCTGCATCCATATTTTAATTTAATCTGAAATATAAGAAAGAAATATTTTTAAATGTAATTCGAAAAAAAATGTATATTCTGGCACTTTTCTTTTTTTTTATTTCAAACTATGAATATCTGACCAATTATCTTAAGAAAATGTTCGATCAATTAATTATCTGAAAGTCAAAAACGAAATTCGTTTTTTCACAAAAAAGAACAAAACTATTGCATTTATCATATTTAACCTAAATAGACTCAATCTCGTTTAACAATAACACAGACGAAATAAATGACTTAAATATGATTAATATCATAATTTTCAAGTGGTTGTACGTCAAATTTAGCAATTGAAATCAGTGACCAATGAATATTAGCACATCTAACATTAAATTGTTGACATGCATCTAAAAGTGCTTTGCGTTTATTGTCTCCGCCAGAAAATTCATTAATACCAAGAACAAGAATCATTTGTCTTTCATTATCAATTGTTTTTATTTCGCTAAAACTTCGAACTAATTTTGCTCCACATAATTCAACTAACTCTTGAACTTGTTTGTAATGGTGCACAATCATTTAATGAACAACGTAAATAAATCGAATATTTATCAAATAGATATGAAGGTGTTAAATGTGATCGACGCATTCCACCATGATCAGCATCTAAACTTGTGTCACCACGAATTTCATATGGACGTTCATCAACAATTGTTCCTTGAGCTCAACAATCATTTAGCCAACCATTTGAAACAATAAATAAATGACGAGCTATTCCTTGAATTATTTTTCCCGTTAATGGACAATCAAGAGAAGAGTTTTCATTCACAATTATATGAGTTGTCGATGAGTCAACTGTTGGACTTGTTGAAAACCCAAAACGAGTGATAAATAAACGAAATTGAGACTAAAAGAAAAAAGAAAATTTTTTTAAAACTAAAAAATTTAATGTTTTTCATATATACTCTTTGAGTTTCATCAAGTGAAGACGCTGTTAAAAGTAAATGTTGAGCCGTTGAACAAGTATTCATAGTTGTTGACAATGAAAGAGTTGTTGTATGATCAACTTTTTCAATTGAAGATAAGTCATCAATTGATTCAGGAGTTTTTTCAATTGTCACTGTTATTGAAACAAGATTTTCATCAAGATTAGGAGCAACAATTGAAGGTATCGATTCAGTTTGTTCTTGCGGAATTTCAACATTCTCTTTGGGTTGATTTTCTGATTCTGGTGTTGTCTGTAAGAAACAAGCAAACACTAAAAAATTCATTCAAAGTTTTCTGAATCAGAAATGCTCATTGCGACTGGGAATTTACTGCAATCAACTACCGTACTGTCCAAAAATATAAGAGCGAACCATTTTTTAACGTTTTTTTCTTTATGTTTTGTCTATCCGAAACTCAGGTCAAATTTCCTCATTTCGCGAAAACGCATTTTAAATGAAAATTTTGATTTTTAAAATATATCTAAAAACGTGCCACTTTAACTCAGATTTTTGGCCACAAAATGAAAGGTTCTCCAAAGGTGAGAATCCTCCTGTCCGAAAGAAAACACAATTTCTACATGAAAAAAAGTGTCCTTGGTCATGTGAGCCTGCTGAAAAAGCAGTGTCTCGTCTATATTGGTTTTTATAGCCAAACATCTGAGCTAGACTGACACTTTTTTAGCTATATTTTAAAAATTAAAAGTTTCATTTAAAATGTGTTTTCGCAAAATGAGGAAATCTTATTTGAGTTTCGGATAGACAAAACATAAAGAAAGAAAAACGCTAAAAAACGGTTCGTTGTTAAATTTTTGGACAATGCTATATAATAAAAACAAATTGCTACTACCTTGATGATATCACAAAAGAATGTTTCGCTGTGACTGAACTGAACTAGAATAGTTGTTACTAGTTCTTGAGATTCATCGAGTCTCAGTGTCACATTTGTCGAATTATTTTTTTTAGGAAATCTTCTGTCTGACAGAAGATTTAATTATTTATTGAAGAAAAGAAAATTTCGTAGTTAGAAATTCAACTTTTCATAGAATTGTTTTCATGATGTTATTTGTAGAGTCGATATGACTTTGGTATAGTGTTGTTGTCAAGTTCTTTATCGCTAATATTACATATTTTATTTATCATTTTGAGCGCACTGTTCAAAGAGAAGTATCAGCTAAAATTTCAAACATCATAGTTTTCAGTTGTGTTTTCTGAATAATATCATGCAATTTAAAAGAAAACGAATCGTAGACATCAGGTCTTCTATCATGTCGCATTTATTTTCAAAACACAAAATTAATATTAATCTCAGATTTTTCAGCTCAAAACTATTCGAGATTTGCAAAATAATGTATTTCATACAGTGTTTTCATTCAATCGGATAACTAAATGGCTATGAAAAGCAAGCAGCACAATCAATTTCATAATGTATTTGTATCAAATGTTCAAAAAAAATGTCTTACTTTGATCTTAAATTGCTTTTGTGTTCTACAAAACTTAAGTTTCGCAGCTCATATTAAATATCATACTTCATCCGAAATTTCTTCAACAGTTGTTGATTCATTATTCGATATACAACGTATAACCATTCGATGATGAGTTTTTCGACGAGCGCGGAATCTTCGAAGCCGAGAATAACTTTGTACCATTCGACGTCCATGATGATTTTCGGGTATTATTATTGATGAATGTGCATTTGGTAATGCTGGAACAAAGTTGATAAAACGAGACATCTTTTCCGTAAATAAACGTTCTAATTTACTACATCGCTAAAATCAAATAAATAAATAAATATGATAAAATTTAGCATACAAGAACACAAGGACAACACTGTAAAAAATATCCGTAGAATAAAAAACGAAAAAAGGGTTTATGAAAGTGCAACGTGTCACAAACCCTTTTAAAGGGTTTATTAAGGTGTTATAA